GTTGCAGTTTAAAGTATTAGGGGTGGGCAATTAATACAGTGGGGCCTTGGTATCTGATGGGGTTTGGTTCCAGGACCCCCCATGGATACCAAAATCTGTGGAAGCTCAGATCCCATTAATTATAATGGCATAGTAAAATGATGTCATTTATACAAAATGGAAAAGTCAAGGTTTGCTTTTTTTTTTTTTTTTAGTATTTTCAAACCATGGATGGTTGAATCTGTGGATATGGAGGGCCAACCGTACTCATCAGGGCACTACTTTTCTTGTAGTGAGACTGCATACTCCTCTGAGGCAAGAGGTTATGTTGATGGTAGCAGTGCTGCTATTAGGGTCTTGTCAGACAGGCTTTTTTTGAGGAGCTGACTAAATATGCCAAACAGCTACTGGGCAGCAGCAGTGTGGGGTATGTGTGACACTGGCAGAGGATCTCTCAGAGACAACGGTAGTGGCACCATCGCTAACACTTGTTAGTACTGTGCAGAAGGAGGCACAGTAAACCTCCTTTTGAATTTTCTTTTACCATAGAAACCCTATGATGAAACAATCCAATTGTGTCAGAAGATGAAACTCCCAGTTCAGATGGTACTCAATAAGCTACTGGGGTACAGAAAAGAACAACTACAAGTAGCGCTGTGACTAATGATGCAACTGGACACAAGCTGAAAGGACGTTCAGCTGTTGATGTGCTAAAAGGCGAAAAGAAAGTCCGAAGCTGTACCACACCTAAGGGCATGGAATATGAGAAGCATGAGTCAGTGGAAGCTAGCCTAGTAAAATGAGAAATTGAATGTATAAACATTGCAATACTTGGAGTGAGTGAGCTAAAGTGGACAGAAATGGGTCATAACTCATTTTGAGTCAGATGAGTCTGCAAGACCTCAGCAAGGATGTTGAGGATAGGGTGACTTGGAGGTCTCATTCATAGGATTGCCATAAGTTGAAGTTGACTTGATGGCAGTCAGCAACAACAAGAAAGGAGGGCATGATATCGTATCCCTAAGACCAACAGGGCTTATCACCACTAGTTTATGAGCTCATTCAAATGAGGAACTTTGTTATGAGAAGAGTGAAAGATGTTGGAATAACAAGACAGCCTTTGGTGCACAAGTGGTCCTCCTTATTGGCTTTATCGTGTGGGGGAAATTGGGCAAAATCAGGGGTTTAAAAAGCAATTATCCCAGGCAAAATGCGAATTTGCAATCAAGATTTTCAGATGACGTTGCTCTTAAAGAAGTAATAAAGAGGCAATAAACAGCAACAAATCATTCATGAGGAAATCCTGAAAGTGATTTGTGAAGTCGAAGGCTTTCACGGCTGGTATCCAAAGTTTTTTGTGAGTTTTGGGCTGTGAGGCCGTGTTCTAGAAGAATTTATTTCTGATGTTTCACCTGCATCTGTAGCTGGCATCTTCAGAGAATTCTTTAAGAGCAATGTGTAATTGCGAATTTGTTTTGCCTGGGATAATTGCTGTTTAAATCTCCAATTCCCTCCCAATTTTCTCCATGATAAAGTCCTATATTTATCTGCTGTGACCAAAACCATGCATGGTATGTGAAACCAAATACTGATTACAGAACTTTTTTTCCATGTAAGCCTGCTGCACTGGCACTAATCCAGGATAGAGAAAAGGGCTGATCTGCAGTCATGGTAGTATATATAAAAGGGCATGCTTGCCACACTTCTACTCCAGATCCTGTTCTTCTCAGAATGCATGTATGCTAGATCAGAAAGTTCACGGGGAGAAAGTCTATCAGTTGCTACTTAGCATGATGGCTACATGTAGTCTTTAGAGCCATGTGCCATTAAATACCAAACTACAGAACAGAGCTATTGTTGGATTTGAAGAATCTTGTCTAATCCAGTTTTCACATGTTCCTAAGCTTTTCTTTCCATAGTTAGCTTGTTGTGCCTTGTCACCATTTCCTATCTCAATGGTCCATCTGTTTCATCCTGTGCAAAACTTTGAACTTGGGATGACTGCAATTGCCAAAAGGTTTCCTCTGCATATCTATATCATGTTCAATATATAAACAAATAAATTTATATGAAATAAAAAATGTGACTCTCCAGATATTGTTGTTGTGTGCCGTCAAGTTGTTTCCACCTTATGGTAATCCTAAGGTGACACTATCATGTTTTGGTTTTTTTGGCAAGATTTGTTCAGAGGAGGTTTGCCATTGCCTTCTCCTGAGGCTGAGAACATGTGACATGACCAAGGTCACCTAGTGGGTTTTATGGCTGAGCTGGGAATTGACTGGTCTTCAGAATTGCAGTCCAACTCTCAAACTACTATGCCACACTGAGTCCATATTACAGGAGTGCAATTTCCATTAGCCTTAGTGTGGAGAGCCAATGGTGAAGGACAGTGCAAGTTCCATTCTAACATTGTTTAAAAGGCCACATGTTCTCTGACCTTGCTCTAAGTCCTTGAGTGAATTGCAGTTCAAGAGTTTAGACAAGCAAATCAAGAAACAAGGAAGTTTGCTGCAGAGTGCCATGCCACTTTGAGTTTTTATTCTCACGCAAATATAATAAAGCCACTCTAGTTGGGACATAAGTTACATAAAAAGCATTCCAGTGTGTAGCTGGTATTTCTGTTTCAAGATGTTTCAAATAACAGACGAAAACAGCAACAGAATTCAACATGGGAACCTTTCCTTTGGTATCTTAAGTGCTTAACAGGGATACCTTTGTTCAGGGATTCTATGGGAGCACAGGAAGCTGGGATGAGGATGACCCATGTCAAGCAATGCAAGGAAACAGTGCTCCAGTTACTCACTAGAGCAGTCTTGGCTCATCTGGATGTGTTGTGCTACAGTTCCCAGAATCTTATACCTGGCTGTGGGGTTCTGGGAGTTGTAGTCTGTAACAATCTAGTGGGCCCTAGGTTGAGGAAACCTGAACTACAATTAAGGCAAGGGCAACCAAGAATTCTTCAAACACCCAGGTGAGGATGGTGGATGGTGGATGGGGCTTACACAGAGGAGGTGAGGCATAGCTGCAGAATATGATGCATCACTGGCAGGTATTGTAGATTTGAATCTGCTGGTTAATGTCTCCCAAGATGCCCCTCATCTTGGCTTCTAGCCCATCCAGCTGGGCTGCTTTCTCTTGCAGCAGTCTCTCATTTTCTTCATATGTGTCTTCTAATGCTGAGAGAGGATAGGGAAAAGAGGGGTGGGAACAGAAAATGCAAAATGGAAGAGATTAAGGAAAGGGCACAGTGACTTACAAATCAAGACATAGCATTTCTTGATTTCAGTAAGGCTTTTGACAAGGTCCCCCATGATATTCTTGCAAACAAGATAGTAAAATGTGGGCTAAACAATACAACTGTTAGGTGGATTAGTAACGGGTTGACTGACTGAACCCAAAGGCTCCTCTTCATGCTGGAGAGAAGTAACCAGTGGGTGCCAGAGGGTTCTGTCCTGGGCCCAGTGTTATTCAACGTCTTTATCAATGACTTGGATGAAAGAATAGGGGGCATGC